GGTGTTTTTTCAATGTATGCTTCAGACACGGGTCACGACGAGGCGTTCCCCATAGCGACCCCTAGAGGACGCAGTGTCTCGTTCCCTACTCAGGGAACCATGGTTACATAAGTAACCCGAGACGTTCCCTCCCAGTATATTACCTTCTGAGGATTTAACACAATACAGTGATACTGGTTATGTTTTTCAATGTCATAATTATGTCTAACCACTTTCATCTGCAGAACAGTGTTTTTACATTGAAAACACAGGGGGAACAGATTTACCAGGATGCAGCATTTTTTTTTTGTCTAGATATTAGTGTCATTTAAGTAGGCGACATGAATTAAAGGATTTAAAAAATAATAATTGCAATTATTATTCTTTTTAAATTCATTTAATAAAAGCTGGTTTAAGAGGATTTAGTTTTTTTATATTAATGTGACGTAATTAATAAATGTGACAATAAATGTTGTTTATATACTCTTTTATAGAAGATTTAAACGATCTCTGCCATTTTTGTGGACTACGCAACGACCCAAGTGATTCAGACGTAACACCTGCTTGGTTTGGGGACTTTTTATTAAATTTTTTTAATCAAACCTGTTTGGTCCTTGCTAAATTGGCAGTTGTTACAGGTTATTTTAATCTAATTTTGAGACAATTATGGTTATTAAACATATTGTATGATCTTTCAGATTACCTGTGATGGATGTGACAAGCGGTACCACCAGTCATTTGTTGGCAACCCACCAGTCAATAAAGAATATTATTGCCCAGCGTGTATATCTGAGTCAGTATATTATGAAATTTTTATAAATAGATTTTGCTTGGTTTTCAAAATTGCACTTGTATTGACTTTTTTTGTGTTTCTAAGATTGCATATTTTAGTTTGTATGGTTTAAAAATTGCTTTTCTGTTGTACTGTATTGTACTATTGTATTTTTAAAAAGTGATTAATTTATTTTTGATTGTGATTTCCCATTGTTTAAACGTGTGCACTCACTGTTAACATTAAAAAGGCCAGAACGTCTTGAAATTGTGTAGTTTTGTAAAAAAAGAAAAGAAAAAGTGTATCTTTTAAGATATGTCCCCCCTGTGTTTTTAGTGTAAAGACACTATTCTGCAGATAAAAGTAGCTAGACATAATTATGACATTTAAAAAAAGGGTGGGGGGGGGCAATTTTCTCAGGCCTCTAGAAAAATCTGTTCCCCCTGTGTTTTCAGTGTAAAGTGTTCTGCAGATAAGAGTGGTTAGACGTAATTATGACATTTTAAAAACACATGGAGCATCACTCTGATACACACACACACACACACACACACACACACACACACACACACACACACACACTAACAACAACAACAGCAATACAATGGAAATGGGCTTCTGAACAAAAGAATGCCCCTGACGAAGGAATTTAACTGTCTAATTGTAATGTATGGTGTTACACTTCATAAAACAGGCAAAAGTTAGAATTAGCAGGGAAATCTGAGTCTGACTCTATGTTGCGATTGAACAGTACATTAATACGTATTTAATTACAAATTATCTAATTAACATGGTGAAATGAACGTTGCTTGCAGAAAAACAACAAAACCACCATAAGCTGACTTGCTTAGCCCGGGGCGAAATCATGAAGTCATGATTTTAGTACTGAAGTTTCAGGGTTGCCAGGATATTTTTAAAAACACATGGAGCATCACTCTGATACACACACACACACACTAACAACAACAACAGCAATACAATGGAAATGGGCTTCTGAACAAAAGAATGCCCCTGACGAAGGAATTTAACTGTCTAATTGTAATGTATGGTGTTACACTTCATAAAACAGGCAAAAGTTAGAATTAGCAGGGAAATCTGAGTCTGACTCTATGTTGCGATTGAACAGTACATTAATACGTATTTAATTACAAATTATCTAATTAACATGGTGAAATGAACATTGCTTGCAGAAAGACATTTTCAAAGCCAGGATATTTTTACAAAAAGAAAAACGCCCAATTCCAACTAAAAACTACCGCGGGGAAACCACGGACTTGGCAACACTGCGAAGTTGCGCAGGTGCTGTGAGGGGGAAACAGGGAAACTGAATTCACCGGAACACCGGCTTTTTTGACAAAACGTGTTTAGGGTTCAGATCGCGCTATTATATATATATATATATATATATATATATATGTGTGTGTTTTTTATCTTATGTATTTTTGCATTTTAGCAAATGTATCTTGTTTTAAGGATGTTTACAAGTTTTTATTAGAAAATAAATCAAAAGCACTCTTTAAGAAAATAATTTTTGCATAGTTAAGTATCATTAAGTATCTCTATCAATCAATCAAAGAAAAAAAAAAAAAGAAGTTTTAACCATGACATTTTAACTATTTTAAACATGAATACTGAAAGTAATTATGTGGTAGGTAATTTACCGTGCTATGTGCCATTTCCTCTCAACCATCAAGTGAACCTCCTCAATTCTGTGGTTGTTGGCATAATGCAAACGTTTGGGAAGATGCTGCTTCAAGTAAGGTTTGAAGTGCTGGTCTGGCTTTTTACACTGTAGGAGAACCAAGTTTCATGTTTGGTGAACAAGAACAGTGCGTTCTGTACTGAAATAACCAGGGTACATTTGAATTGAAACCATTTAAATAATCAATATACAGTGGTCCCAAAATATATTGAGAGACTATTTGAGACTAACGTCACAAATAATGCTAGATGTTCCTCAGAACTAACTTTGTTTTTAGGAACAATTTTTTGCAAGTTCTATCCAACTTTTGAGTAGTTGTATGACGTCACATCAGTTCTACTCAAGATCACAGAGGTGTGGTAGCAGAGTAACCACAGGTGCAGGTCATCACATTAAGTATGGAGTCTCACTTAATGTTGACAAACAGAAAGTGTTTTCTTATAAAAAGGCTTAGTAAAGTATGATGTAAATACAATAAAAAAGTACACTATTATAAAGTATTTTATAGAAAGTCACTCACCGTAAGGTTTGCTACAATTGCTTTTGCATCATCTAGAGAGAAACAAGAGAGATACTCAATTATTTTTATTCCTGATACTTTTAAAACAAATTAATTCCTAGAAATAGTGCACTGTAGTCTATTCTAATGTCCTCACTAAGTCACATGCTCTCAACACATTTATCTCTTGTAACGTGACATTTAATTAAAATCAACCAATAGCCCACACAGCCTAGGTGAAATCAGCCAAAAGGGGCCTTAAAGTTTAAAAAGCCAAAAAGTTCTTTAGGCACAGGACATATTGCATTTTGATTATTATTTGTTTTTCTTTTTCTAAGGACTAATGTGTGCCAAGTTGTGATAAATAAATAATAATAAAAATGGTCAATTTGGTTTCATGGTCAATTTTGTTTAAAAAAAAAAAAAAAACTTGAAATATAAAAAAATTAGTAAAAAAAAAAAAAAAAAAATCAATCAATCAATTTGATGTGGATGAATCCAGGTTGTTTGAACACTAAAAATATATTTACATACAAACGCATAGAGATACTGTATTTCCTGTTCACAAAATCTTGTGATTTCTGATGCAACTAGGACAGGGCAGGCTAGAACTCTCATTCTGCTTTTTAATTACTAACATTTAGAGTTGTTTGAATTTCGGGCTCGGATTCTTCCCAGAGACCCAGGAATTAGGATGATGTCCTCAGTGTTGGACATATAAGAGCTCAGGAACTCTGTGCGGTCACAATGAGCTTCCTCCATGCCTGAAGAAGAAAATATATATCAAATATTTAGAATTTATAATAAAATGGTATCATCCCTAGAAACCCCAATCCAGGTCTAAATGTGGTACCATGGTCTCCAACCAAGATGATATTGACACAACGGTGCAGTTTCATCTGTTTCAGGCCATTCATTAGCTGTCCAATCACCTTATCAATGTCCTTCAGTGCACTGTCAAGCTGTAGAAGGAAACAACATCTGTTTAATGCTCAAAATCAAAGCAACACCAGCAACATCAACAGTCTGCAAATTTTAATTCACACACTATGGAAAGTGAATGTAATAAGTTTATGCAGTGAGTCTGTATTTGGGCTGACTTTGTTTGCATTATTGTTACAATTGTAGCATGATCATATATGTTTATGTGAGTAAGTGTGTGACTGAAGCAAGTGTGACAACGCCAGTCAACTGGTCTTCTAAGCAATTCAAATGTTTCCTGTACACTCTGCTTACCTCAGTGCTGTGGGGTCCTAGTTTGTGGCCACAGGAATCCAGCTGTTCAGAATGCATTGCATAAACATATGGCCTGCAAAAACACAGACACCTGTTACCTTTTAACCCCCAAAAAAAGAAAAGAAAAAGAAAGAAAGAAAATCTACAAAAAATCAAGCAGTGACAGTACTAACTTTAGGCAAATAATTAGAAGTCTAACCTTAAAGCAAATAAAATGTAATAATGTGACTGTTAAGATAACCCCATGAACCTAAAAAAAAAGCAATACATGGAGAAATATCTTCCTGGCAAAGGTGCATGTCACATTAACTGAAAAAAATAACAACAGAGTACTGAATTTTGTGGAGTAAATTTACGGTAATTCTGAACTTTTTAAATTAATTGTTCAACCAAATACGGACTGTTCACAAAGCATTTTGGAGGTGTTTAGTACATACTGACCTCTCCGCATCCGGAAGGTGAAGCCACTGCAACATGGTCAGAACTCTCCTTTCCAATGGAATGCCACTGTTAAGAACCACACATTAGAACTGGTACATATACATACTTTGTATATATATAGCTGAAATAGATAGCTATTTAAAGTGTATATAGCTGAAATTTTCTGAAAGGGTCAGCAGGGCAGTACACTTAGGCAAACCTTCAAGTTTAAGGCCTGCAGATATGCACGTATGTGGTTAAAAGTCTTAGAGAGTTTATGTAGGATATCGAGGGAGCAGGGAAGATTAGAAAGATTATCTCAATCAATCTCTACAGGAAACCCTTTTCCACTACCACCTCCACTCATCCTGACCTCCTGTCCAATTGTATCAACATTGGGTCAATTCATGCACTAAGCTCACAGTCCTCCTCAACCTATGGGCTCAGATAAGAATGGCAAATTTAATTTCCTCATGGTTTGAGGCCAAAGGAAGTAGCTCTGAAAGCACTTTGCCCTTCCACTGTGCTGAATTCGGTATGCAGTTGACAAGCGCCTTGCATGTATGTAGAGCCTTTTCTCACAAATTACTAGCAAAACAGTTCAAGCTGTCTCTGTCTAAGTGGAAAAATGCAGTCTGAAGGCCCTCTGTGAATGCAGATGAGGGGACCTTTGTGTTTCAGTCCTAGGCAAGTCCAGGGCTTGCCAGAGAGCACATCAGAACAAAAACATTCAGTTTTATGAAATCTTGCAATTAACTTGCAATTTCGGCTTGAAGTACTTTTTTCAGCTGTATAACTAGATTTTAATGTCCTTTTAAGAAAATATGAGTGGTCCTTGCCTGTGCAAAACTTCACATGTCAATACTTTGTGGTTTCTAGGGTGTTGTGTGTGTTTGTTTTACTAGCCCACATGCCCACCTCCAAGTCTCCATGACATTATGGTCCATAGATTTGACAAGTCCCCGTTCATTATAAGTGTATGGGATTTTTTCATACATGTAAACATCCACCAGGCTAAAATCGTGAAATGGCACACCTCTCCTCAATAGGCCACATGATTTGAGGTAGGCTACTGCTCATGTCCATAACAAACAGTACGGACAAGTTATTTGATTAACCTGATGTTACAGAATTGAATTAAAAAATGACCTTCAAAAAGACATTGTTTGCATTTGAGTTTGGATCATGTTGACTTACACTGGCCAGAAAAATGTACCAGCCTTTACTCCCTGTTTCACTGCTGTTATCCAGATCTAGAAATGGAAGAAAAAAAAAAGAGTTATCAAACACAGGGTTTCTGCAGACTTAAACAAGTTAAATTTAAGACTTTTTAAGACCACCTTATATGAAATTTAAGACCTAAACCTGTAATGGAAATACACATTTTATTACATACATATATGTAATATTTAATGTGTATAAATTAAAAAGAAAAAAATATATCAATGCTGTAATAAATGGTATTTATTACTATGATATACAGTGAACTTTTCATGTCAGCAGACAATATTCCATTCAAAATATCCCTGCAAAATAACTGCATCACTGAGATTTTTGGTGGAGTAAACAATTTATTCTGAAGCAATATTTTCATCAGTGTTCTATCAGCTTTTACATACTTAAATCTGCATATTTACCTTTACAAATGCCTATTTTTAACCTTTTTAGATGTATGCATCATCTTACATGTCAAATTATTACAATTTAGAATTACTTTTGTTGGCGAAATAGTGCAAAAACAGGCAATATGGTGTCAAAGACGTAAGTCTCTTAATAAAACTTCTAGTTTATTGAACTGTTGTAAAAAAATCAATATCACATTTGTATATGGTAATTTTTGGAATAAAAAAGGCACTCTTCCGTGTGAACTTGAGTATAAATATACACATTTTCTGCCCCCTTGTCTTGAATTTGTGATCATTCTGAATGCATTTTAATAGACTGAATTATGCAGTGATCAGGCAGAGCGCACTGCAAATGCGCACGCGCACTAAACTTCACGTAATGCGTGCGCTCTGTAGGCGTTTTGAATGTTTGTTTTTTTTGCGTAGTGAGAATATTGAGTAAAATAGCTCACTTGTCATGGGTGTTATTTAACTATATCATGTTATGAATAGTGTGTTCTGAGTTTATGTGTGCTGTTACGCTCATTTGTTCTGAAGTCTCGAGACAAACAGAGTGATCCTCAGCGCGAGCTTGTATTCTGTATTCTGCGAGCTTACTGCAATTCTCTCTGATGACGCAGTAACTTACCGCAGGTAGAAAACATCTTTATCTTTAAGATATTTGAGCGGTAATGTGATCAAAATATTTAAGACCCATAGAATCCGAATTTAAGACTTTTTAAGGCCTTATATTAGGAAAACGTTATTTAAGACATTTTAAGACTTTTTAAGGACCCGCGGACACCCTGCAAACAAAACGTGTTGTACTGAATCCTGTGTGTAAAAAAAAGTGTTTTTCTTTCATATGCCAAAGAAAAACTCTTAATTCATATATGAACTAAACTAATTCTAGGGATCACAATTCACAAATGAGAGACAATTGTTCTGTGTTGGTTAATTTTCACAAGTGTTTTTGCAAAACTGCAGCGACGAGACTGGATAAGTTCCAACTATGATGGCCTCATTTACCGTCACAGATCAGTCAGTGGGGTATAGAATCAGCCAGAAGAAATAAAGTTCTGTGAAAACTGAAAATTGGCTCCAGCTGTTGGGTTAATAGCTGACAGATGTGTTGGAGTTGTCCCCTTTGTTTTCATGTAGCTTGCACAAGATCCCACTGCTTACAGTTTCAGAACACTGTGCCACTGAGGTACTAGTTATAATTGTCTTTTAGCTCTTGCCAAGACAATGGTTTACAGTTTAAAATGGTGACATCAATATGGCTCAAATTAGTCTACATATATGTACATGAGTGTCACTGGACTGACCTTTGACAGTTGAAGTTTAAGTATATTTCAAATTCAAAGCCAGATATGATGCCAAGAATACCAGAGCACTGGTCATGTGTACAAAGTCTGTTATGCCTGGAAAGAGCTAAATGTCAGGGATACTGTATAACATTTGTATAACATATAACATTTTGCAATATTACTGTTTTTTTCTGTATTTTTGATTAAATAAATGCAGCCTTGATGAGCATAAGAGACTTCTTTTAAAAAAAACAAAAAAATAACAAGTCTTACTGATCCCAAACTTTTGAACGGTAGTGTATACACACAAATCAGACTCTGGTAAAGCATCTAATATAATATAATTAAATATTGCAAAAAAATATATAACTTATTTTTCTACCATGATGCAGAACATCTTTCAATTTCAACCCGTTTGTCACTCAAAGAAATTATATGGCCCCAAAATAACTTCTAAAGATTGTTTAACAAAAAAAAACGCCCCTTTTAGACTTACACTCTATTCATTTACTAACTGCTTGTTTTCTTTAAAAAAACAAACACTAGCTTCTCTATTCTTTTTGTATTTGTTTTCTTTTATTTACCATACAATTAACAAAAAGCAAAAAAAGGCCTCTAACACTGGCTTGCTCTATTCTATTTCTATTCTATCCGTTTTCTTTTTATTTATTATATAAATTTTTTTTAAAACCTTGCGTATATTGCGTTAGGCTAACTGAAAATTGTCACGGCACTTGCATATTGCTCTTTTGTTGATTTTGATTGTCTCCATTGTCCTCATTTGTAAGCCCTTTTGGATAAAAGCATCTGCTAAATTACTAAATGTAAATGTTTTTTTAATGTTCTTATAGAACTAGGGCTGTCCCCAACAAAAGATTTTTCTAGCCAACTAGTAGTCATGTTGTAGTCACTAGTAATGTTAAAACGAGCAGCCATGGCTAACATTGGGCTACTACTTACGTGTTTTAAATGATAAGACATGTTCGTTGTTGATGAACAATAGACCAGCGTTTACCTGCAGAGTTTGGCAACCTTTTGAGGGTCATCCTTTACCCCCACTTGCGATTTTCTTCCTGACATGATTATTAGCACATGTATCAGCCAGACCAGAGGTGTTAACACATTTTCGGTTACTGGCTGTGCCAATTCATCAAATCCTGTGTGGTTTTTTTTTAACTAACTATCTAATGAAAATGTAGTTGACCAAGCCTCTTCTAGCTGACTAACATTTAGTCAACTATTAGGAGACAGCCCTATATGGAATGTGAGTACATGATGGCACAATTTCATTTTTGGATGAACTTTCCCTTAAAAAAGGTATGGAAGGGCAACTCACAGGTTGTCCTCCCCACCATCGATGGTTAAGCTTTTCTTTCCCACGGATGTTAAAGTTGGCATCAAAGCCAGGGTCATGCATGGAGTTACCCACAATTCCATGCGACTCGGGATAAAGCCCCTAAAGCAAAGATAAAACAAAAGAAATATGTTCAAGCAAAAGGTTTAAAAGGCAACACAACTAATATTATCATGTACAGTGGTGCTCCTAAGTTCTAACATGAATATCACCTTTGTAGAATTTGAATCCTACCAAAAAATAAAAAAATAAAATAAAAAAAGCATTCCCCCCCCCAGAATCTTGCAGATTCTGCAAGGGGTATTTAAACTTTAAGCAAAATGTTTACAAAGTACACAAACGTAATACATACTGTTGCAATTGTATACAAATTTGGGTAGGTTTTGGTGGGGTACATAGGTCTCATGTATGGTGCGTGTGTTCCACATGATCCTACAAGAGAAATTAAGTCATTAGTAGAATCAATTAAAGGCATCAGTTTAGTACAATAAATGAGGTTATTTAGCACAGATGAAATACATGAACATGTTCTCTGAACAAGAATGTGCCCTAAGTTTACTTTGTCTGAGATCCTAAGTTTACCACAGGGAAACTCAATTGCAAAATGGATTGCTGTGTAGACTGTTGGCTAGTGTTTAGAGTTGTGTGTGCGTGTGTGTGTGTGTGTGTGTGGTCGAATTTGTGTGGTCGAATCAGCATTTTATTACTTTCATGATTATCAATCGAACCACACAAATTCAGAATGTATTCTGAACCTCTGCTGCATGAAGACTACTTGCTGCCAAATCCAAACACACACACAAAAATACTGAGGACGCATCAAAACGTCCACAACTGCTTGGCTGTTTACACTGTTAATAAATAAACTATATGATCACACAGCTCTCTAGATAAAGTTGGATAGTATAACTATCCACATACATACCGTCTCAGCAAATGCTAATATATACAATTAATTTGGATTTATTTTTGATTAGTTAATCTGTACATTGTGTAATACATTTTATATGTTTTATCTGATTGACAGCTTACTCAATATTCATTTATATTCAGTTTGTTGATTTTCATGACAAGACATAAGTCTTACTGAGTTTCTCAATATTGGGGATCACCATGCTTCCTCTTTTCATGTAAGATGCACGAAAGCCATCAACAGACAACATGATGATCGGCGGCCGAACAAACCTAGATACACAGAAAGAAACATTAATACACCAATTACAAACAAAATATTTGTTGCTAAAATTTGTCCTAATTAATAGTGGACAGGTAAGTCTTTAATTTGAATGCTCTTTTTATAACAACCTTTGATTCTTCCATAGGCACTATTCATATGATGAATATCATAAAAAAGTCACACTTCATGTGCATGCATTAACATGAATTGTTATGCAAATCACCCAGTTCTCCCAGATAGCTGTTTGGTCACACAGAAGCCCAATATCCATCTTTTAACTCTTCTTTTAACAGTGTTTGCCATCATTCAGAACTTCACAGCATTAAATAGATAAATTCCCTATCTTCTAGTATGTAAAGTACAGCTGTGACCTAAGATATAAGTGTTGTGGACTTAAGTGTTGAATATAAAAGGTGGGATGGATGGGGAGCCCATTCAGTGATGTTTGTCACTGAAATCACAATTGTCTCTCACCCAGCTGGACACTCGTGGTTTTTAATCTCTTCACACTCTTCCTGCAACCAGGGAACATCACCTAATACAGGGAGGAAGTCAGTCAATGAAGTGTGAGGTGACAATCAAACACGTCTCATTTCCAGGAAATACAGAGCTCTTGCTCTACATTTACACACAGACATGCCAAACCCCACATTTTTATAACTGTAGTGGTCTGGCAAAAAGGTCTTAAGAAATAGATGGCAAATGATTAACCTTCATCCTTCCTTAATGGATTTTTTTCTTTTCTTTTTTTTACAATTTAAAAAAAATTTGAGTGTTCATTTGAGTGGTACAAGACTTTGTGACTTTTATTCCACTTGAATTTGGAACACACACACAAAAAATTGAGTGGATTCGAGGATTTATGTGGCTGTAATTAAAAAAAAAAAAGTACAAATCCTTCCCTCGCGGGTCATTTTGACCCGACCACAGGAATGAATGGAGTGTCGAAAAAATTATTATTTTTTTTAAAACAGTTATTTAATTTTGTCACACTTGAACATGGATCACACACACACAAAAATCGAGTGGATTAGAGGACTTTATGTGGGTGTAAAAAAAGTAAAAAATCCTTCACTTGCGGGTCATTTTGACCCGACCACAGGAATGAATGGAATGTCAAAAAAACATTATTATTTGATTTTAAAAAAAATACAATATCTGACACAATCCAGACAAAATTTATATCCAAACAAAGAACTGAGACTACAGAATATTCCCAAGGCATAAAACACTCATATACCCCGTCCACCCCTACACATGCACACAAACACATACATGGTACACGCACACACATTATAACACACATTACAGCACGCATGATTAAGGTAAACAAGATAAATAAAAAAATTAATTAAATAAAAATCACCAAAAACAAATAAAGTAAAGTAGGTCCTACATAAAGTAGGTTTATGATGGATGGATCAATATAAGCTTTCTGGGCAAAAAAAAACTAAAAAAACGTATCATTTTAGGCCTTCGGGTCATTTTGACCCGTGAGGGAAAGATTTGTTACAAAACACGAGGGAAAGATGAAGGTTAAAATATGCATGATGCACACTCTGGTTCAAAAATAACAGCAATGGGTGATTGTCACTTTTAAATCAAAACAAATTATAAATCCTCCACATTAAACTATTTCTGCTAAACATTCTGCTAATTACATGAAATGCATGTGATTTTTGTGTTTCCAGTTTGCAGAAACAATCTGAAAGCATCCTACCTTTGCAGAGAGACCTGTAGTTGGTGCAGCAGTCTCCTTTAGCCATGCAGTCCTCTGAGCAGTGACAGGCATGCTGTTCATTGCGAGTTTCACCACAGCGGTCTTTACTGCACTCAAAGTCCCCAGCTAAAGGCGCAAAAAAATCTAACATTTCTTGTAGATAAAACCCAACCAATGCGAAATTAAAGGAAACCGTTACAGCAGCCTGGCACAAGCGATTTGAAGAACGTCTGTCTTTTGACAGACAAAAAGGACAGTGGGGTCCAAAATAAAAAAAAAATCCTTCATTAATTTGAGAATTTGAGAACTCACGAATTTGAAAATTTCTTAGTATTTGGTAGGCCCCAATTTTGTGGAAAACCTAATGCATGTCATCAGCATGATTTGAGAATGCTCAAACATGAGTCGTGACCATATGTTCAAATGAGACGTCGCAAATGTTCTTATTCAAGTGCAAAATCTTAAATACTCCTAATTCATTTTCCATCATAAAGCCTCAAACTTTGTGTATATCCCAAATAAAAGGAAAAACTAATGAAGATAGGTCTTACCTGTTTTCAGGCAGTGCTCATCAAAGTCTGAGCAACAAGTATTGTATGTTTTGCACAGGTTGTCACAGCGACAGTTTGGGGGTTCACTTTCCACTAGTTCAAAGCACCTGTTTTTGCAGGAACCTGACAGGCTGCTAATGCAAAAAAATCTAACATTTCTTGTAGATAAAACCCAACCAATGCGAAATTAAAGGAAACCGTTACAGCAGCCTGGCACAAGCGATTTGAAGAACGTCTGTCTTTTGACAGACAAAAAGGACAGTGGGGTCCAAAATAAAAAAAAAAATCCTTCATTAATTTGAGAACTCACGAATTTGAAAATTTCTTAGTATTTGGTAGGCCCCAATTTTGTGGAAAACCTAATGCATGTCATCAGCATGATTTGAGAATGCTCAAACATGAGTCGTGACCATATGTTCAAATGAGACATCGCAAATGTTCTTATTCAAGTGCAAAATCTTAAATACTCCTAATTAATTTTCCATCATAAAGCCTCAAACTTTGTGTATATCCCAAATAAAAGGAAAAACTAATGAAGATAGGTCTTACCTGTTTTCAGGCAGTGCTCATCAAAGTCTGAGCAACAAGTATTGTATGTTTTGCACAGGTTGTCACAGCGACAGTTTGGGGGTTCACTTTCCACTAGTTCAAAGCACCTGTTTTTGCAGGAACCTGACAGGCTGCTAAAAGGGTGGTCAGAAAGAACTTCGAGGACCAGATAAAGTTTAAGGAAGAGAGAAGAGACATAGAACAAAGATTAAAGAGATATTTTAAATCTAAAAACACACATCACCAAAAGACAAAAGTGTGTTATGCTTGTGCAAACATTCGTAAGTGCTCTGCCCTGAAGCTGAAGACACATGTATGCAGTTCAATCATTCGAACCTGTAAAATCTCAAAGATCGGTAAAGGAGCTAAAATGTACTTTGCGTATCTCAATATTGACTTAGGTTAGAGCAAAGCAAATATTTCTTTAATTTCGATCACCAGTTGAGAGCAACAGAAAGTGGCTGTTTCGTTAAATGTTCCTTGCACATTACTACTACCAACTTATGTGAACTGATATGATCACTTGATTTAAAAAAAAAAAAAAAAAAAAGTCTAAATGCATTTATACTGGAACATTTAAATGAACAAATGATGTTATGAAGTTAAATCGTAGCATGAACAATGAATCATTGAATGATGGATCAAGCTAGGTCAAATGCTCTTCTTTTGTCCAAGCTTGAATAAATTATATAAACTAGGCAGCAGGTAGTAAATGTCCCAACTGAGCCAATGGTCTTGGATTTTACACTGACACCCAGTTTGCTGCCACTTCGTAGTTCATTCTTGATCTGTGTATCCAATATGGCAGACCACTTATGAGTAGCAGCCCACATAAACAGCCGCTAACGCACCTATGGTAGTAGTTGTAGTAACTCCGTACAACATTCTTGGCCATGTTATATTACCCCTAGAGGCGTGATCCACTCCGTGTACAATAAAACAGATTTTTCTAGATTAAAATATACTGTGATAGAATCCTTATAATGTCACTGAACACCAATTTTTTTCCCCCTCATATGTACGTTTTTAATTAGCATACTGAATGCACATTTAGTATTAAACCCATACTAGTTGTAAATTCTGCCCTGCAACCACTGAAGTCATGTTTGTTATATATTAATTGCATACAGCTTACATTTATAATTGTACAGTAATTTATACATTGAGCACACATAGTCTAGTATGAACACATTCTGGTATAAAGAAGTATAAACCCACATCCTGAGAAAGACTCATCTGATGATCGTGCCTTGCCGGACCGTCTGACCACATAAGCCTCACACACAGGGCTTCGCGAGAGAAGATATAATACGGAGAATACCTGCATACGGACACACCGCGGGAGAAGACATATCGCAGAATGCATGAGTAAAGATAAAGCAAATGCACCTCATTCAACTTTTGACTGGAAAAAATGTACAATGCGCGTCAGTTCACATATTTCAACATATAGGACGACCGAGAAAATGCAATAGCATTCTTATTAGACTTAGCTTTTATGCCTGCGACCAAGAGGAAAGATTTTCAAACTCCAAAACAGTCGAATATTTATATTTGCAGCTGCCAATAAAACTACCTTGTAAAAGTTTTCATGAACCGTACTCTGCTAAAGTTAGGCTATTGAACAAATAAGAAAAAATAGCGTTATAATGCTAAAGGGTCAAGGCATATTAATTACATCTATAAAATGCAATAAAAAGTCAACTGAACAAACCTTCTTACAAATAGAATACGTAAGCATGATATGAATACCAAAAAAACATCTTGCCGTACCCATTTCAGTTGCAGCATGGCTGATGTGTGTCTGGTCCCTGACTCACTGACACAGTACAGGCTCAATCCCATTTATACCCCATAGCCCTCCCCCTTCCCCCTGCCCATCTGTTTCGCGCATTCACGTGAAGGGGTAGGGGTCTCGATTCTCTTTTGGTTGGAGGGGTAGGGGTAAGGGGAAGGGCCAGATAGCCCTTCAGAAGATTTTTCGGGACCACACTTCAAACGAAGGGGTATGCGAATTATCTCAGCAATGCATACACCGGCTAGCTGCAATGTCTGGCCGACAGGGGCGTATCTAGAGGGGTGGCATCGGCCCCCCACAAAAGATGCTTGCCCCCCCCTCAACAGCGCAGACTGATCAGAGTATAACATCTCACGTGTCGGCGCTGATGGCATACGCTAATCGGCAGTAGCGCCGCTTGAAGTAAAACACACCTACTCACTGTCTGGTTCACCGCCAATTAATTCCCCTATATTTACGACGCCATTGGATTAGAGTGCTGTCAATTTCACAGCTCAAACAGGAAAAGCGCGATTTTGCAGGCTGCAGACCAGGGCTGCGTTCAGCCCCGACAAAACGGTGCAAAACGTTTTTTAAACGGAAACGGTGGTGTGTTGAACACACTGTTCTGGGGCAAGTTCAAGCTCAAACCGGTGTGCACCGTTTTGCTACGGTTTCCGGTCTGAACCACATGTTTCCTGGAAACGGTGTGCAACGGGGTTTGAGATGTTTTCTCTTGTTTGGTGGGTGTCAAACATGTCAGCCCAATCAGCAGCAACATGTATATAAACCCCGCGGTAGTAAAGAGACAGCTAGCACAATGTAATTAACATCCAAATATATTCACAAGAGCAAGTATATTGTTTGCACATGTTTATTTACATTAAAGGCAAAATAACTGAAATAATAAGGGCACAAGTATAGAGTTTGCAATGTCCAAGAACAGCTTCATGTTTAAATGATTTTGTCTTTAATCAGATGAGAATATGGCTATTGAATATACTATTTGTGTAATATTGATGATTAAGTTAGAGGTTTGTTTATTTTAAGACAGAATTTTGTGGGGAAAAATTAAAAGGGGACAAAGTCAGGCACATTAGGCCCTTTTCACATGACGTCACGCAACTTCCGTTCTGACGCGAAGCAGGGTATTCTTACTTCCGCCAGCATAGTAAGCACTATCGCTACCAGCATGGAGTTCACCTAAACGCTTGTACAACTGCCACAAATACGATTAGAGGATGACTGCTGCTGTCTATTCTCTTCCTTGTTCAGGAAGAGGCGTCTGGCATCTCAAACGAACTTACCGAATACCGATCGGCGAGATTTGCCGCTTGAAGTCGAGGGAGGAGTTGAAAACGGAGCACTGCAGTCACTGATTCCCGCGACTCTCGTGCACTGTTTGCTATCTTTATTGCAGTTAGATGAAGTTGGTTAGATATATTTCTCAAATAAACAAACGTTTTAGACATTTACATGTGGTAACAGAAAGCCTTTTCATTCAGTAATTTATGTCCTGCTTAATACAGCGCCTGTATGTACAAGAATAGTTCAACATAAGCTTGTACTATTTAAATATCAATAAAATGGGGTCTATAATTTTCTGTTTTATTAATGTAATTCAGAAAAAAATATTAAATATATTAAGTTTATATGAAAAGCTTTTACAGTTAAAAACAGATGCCAGCATTTGTGTAAATAAATATAAAACGCATTCAGCTGTTCTTTAAAGATCACATTGCATATAGCCTATAATGAAAATAAAATACGATAGATCATATTAATAAATAATAATTCAAAAAGTAAAAACACGGTATACATGTAGTTAAAGCGAAATTGAATGGAGGAATTTAAGTAATTGTAGAAGTCCAAAGTTCTGTAGAACTACGCGGCTGTCCTTTTTGTATTGTTTCAATATTAAGCCATATTCTTGAACAGGACAATGAGTTTCTTTTCAGACCACTTGCCTTTATGGATGTGAAACTTGCCATGCAGTGTGTTGTGATTGGCCGAATACCTCAAGCGTGTGACGGAAATGTTAAACCCCTATCATACTGTGATGATGCCATCAGGCCGGAGTGATGATTCAAAAACATGAAAACTCATTATAAACGAAGCATTCGTTGCATCCAGTGGGGACATAATTATGGATTATAATGACATATATTGTCTTTTTACGCATTGTGTTGCATCGCGCCGCGTAAAAACATAAAACATAAAACCATGTCTGCATTTGTGATCGGAGAAATGACAAACAACAAGCCCTACTCTACACTGCCCAAACAACTCGCTTTAAATATATAAAATATAAAAACTCTTTAAATATAAGATACATACTTACAGTCTTTGAGTCAGAACAGCCGGCATTGTAGTCTACTCTCCCAGGATCAGGAAACAGTCCTCCATAAAATGTGCTGCACACATCTGAATATTTGGGTTGAAGTGTTCTGGAACAGTGTTGTAAAGCGTGAGGAATGGCGGGAGGGTTAGAGTGAGCAGAGGCAGGTGGGCTTGAGAACGGCGCGGCCGGCGATTTCGACGAAGGAGCGTCCGGAAGGACATGTGACGACTCCGGGCTGGACTCCGCTTCGTCCACGGTGAAAGCCGATCCGGTGATCCACAGCGCAAAGTTGTAGTATTTCCTCAGCAACAAGCACGGATCAGCTCCAGGCATGACGAAGTGGATATCATCCTCTTTTGGAAGACCAAACAAAGTAGTTTCGCTTTCACAACGAATCACACAGCGTCTTTACGACATGGCGGCGGCAATAACAAAACTACAGCGAGAATACAAGTTACGCCTTCTTTCTTTGCGTGAACATTTGATCGGCATTATGCAAATCTCTCCACAGAGTGACGTAGGTATGTGGGGGCGTGTTAGAACGAGCCGTTTTAGGTAGGTGTGGCTGACTCTTAACTTTTATAAAGAATATCTCTTTGGATTTGAGACTTTAGTCTTTGCAACTTTACAGATCTTCTTTATGCACCAAGAGCTTGTAACACTCCAAAGAGAAAGGAAAAATTGAAATCGCATCATATGACCCCTTTAACATAAAAAAATATGACTTGTGTCCATGTCATTTCCCCATAGTAAATAAAAACAAGACAAAGTTTGTCTTTTTATTGCCCAACTAACACTGTAAAAAGTAATCACTGAATCTACTTAAGAAAAGCAAGTAAACATAACTGATTTTTACAAATTTGTTGAATTTACTTAATTACACTGTGTTATGTGAACTTTCAGGTGGATGCAATAGTTAAACTAAACAACTTTAGTAAACAGTACTTAAGAGCATCTAGTTGGTTGGATTAAAGGTCTGTTTCCATTGTCTGGTGCAAAGAACAATTCATACAGTTTTAGAGTGAATACAATTTGAAATAACATAACTGATTTTTACAAATTTGTTGAATTTACTTAATTACACTGTGTTATGTGAACTTTCAGGTGGATGCAATAGTTAAACTAAACAACTTTAGTAAACAGTACTTAAGAGCATCTAGTTGGTTGGATTAAAGGTCTGTTTCCATTGTCTGGTGCAAAGAACAATTCATACAGTTTTAGAGTGAATACAATTTGAAATGGTTAAGTTTTTTTTATAGTTTTTTTTTTTTTAAATAATCTTTTTTCTTCAAGCTGTCAAATAACAGTAAGATTTCAGCTTTTTAGCTTGCCCACAAGCTGTTGCTCCAGTAGAGCATTTCACAATCATCATATTTCCCCAATCCCACTATGTGCCCTAATAACTCTGACCAGTAAGTGGCGGAAGGTTGGTTTAAACAAAACATCACCAGAAGAAGACAACGAACTGAACTTCAGAGTCAGATCGTGTTTGAAATGTGGCCGCAAGATTAGGTAAGTTTTTGGTGATCTACTTATAAACTATATTGTCACAGTGTGTGCTATCGTTTTTGAGGAAAAGAAAAGGCAGATTTTATTAGTTTTTACTGACGAGCTTTACTGTAACCGTCAGTTAGCGTAGTAGCTAGCCAGTGGCTTACAAGCTAACTAGATTACAAACATGGATATTCCTCTTTACTGCTAGTTGTAACATGAAATAAACATGAGTAAGCATCATAAACTATGTTGAGCGATACAGTACAACTTAATGAAATTTATCATGTCTTATGTAATCCGTTTTTCAGTATTTAATGTTTGAACAAATGTCATGAAAACAAGTTTTTATCACAACCACCGTTTAAATGTTTATATTTCAGAAAATTCTTTGGAGTAGAAACTTCATTTAAAATAGTTTTTAAATGTGCGTCAATGCCCAGCACTAATTATAACCATTTTCTTTTCATATTGTATGTGCTCTTTTTTGGGGACTTAAACTCATACAGTGGAAGTCGAAGTTCTACTTGTTTATTGAGTGAAAAGAGAGCTCAACTGCTGAAAAACTTATTAAAATATGGAAGCTATGGAATATGAAAATTCTCCAATTCCATGTTTCCACATAGTATATGCTTATTCACATACAGTATGTTAATAAAAAATCATATTTTGCAGTTTTGTGAAACCCTGCACAGAATAAGTAGATATTCATTATATGTTATGCTGAATGCGGAAAGGGAATAATAAAGCAACAGAGTTGGAAAGAAGAGAAAAAAATGCGTGTGATGCTGTTGACGCAGGAGCCGGCGTTCTGATGTAGAACACGCATGCACTGTGCCTTGTTTACAAGCAGAGGAATGCACAAGCATTTTCAGATTTCATCAAAAATATCTTCATTTGTGTTCTGAAGATGAATGAAGGTCTTACTGGTTTGGAACGACATGAGAGAGCATTTAATGACAGAATTTTCATTTTTGGGTGAACCCTTTTTAAAGAAGAGTAAGAAAAATAATGTGAAGAAAGAAAATAGAAATTAGGTAATAAGGAGTCTGACAATTTAGATGAAGGAAGAGTAAAGGAAACAACACA